TTAGAAATATAATAATATAAATTTTTACATATATTTATAATTAATTTAAATAAAAACTTATAAAATTAATATTTACATTAGATGCTTTTAATTGATTAATTAATTAATTTAAAGTCAATCTTTATATTTTTTATATAAATTAATAAAAAAATTACATATATTATACATTTTATATATTAAAAAACCCATTAAAAATTTAAAAACACTCTACATACATTTTAACATGGAGCATGCTCGAACTTGCGCCTCCTCCGCAATGGGCAAGGTTACAAACCAGTTGATCCACCGCACCTGTTTTGCAAAGTACTACACAACATTATATTTATTCATTTGGATTGAGCCAGCGGTTTGAACGGTTGAACCGGTTAAATCGAGAACCGGAGACCAAAACGGTTTGACCTCCGGTTCAGTTTTTAAAACTTTGATTTGAAATGGTATAATTGTGACCGTTAGATACAATTAATCACAGCCGTTAAGGCATGTATTTGCTTTGGTATATATAGCTATACTTCTATAAAAAGGGTTTTACTTTTGCTATTTATGCTACCGAAGTGCTGCCAAAATTTCAACTGAGCTTGCACATCCGAGTTTTTGCACTCTTTTTTTACTTCAATGCCAATTTCACAAGACCGAAATTAGGTAATGCATGTATTTTGGTAGTTTTGATTCTAGCAAAGAGTTCTATTCTTATCTCACCCTTTCTGATTTAGATCTAAGTCCTCTTAAGGAGGTTAAGTTTAGGAGTGAGAGTGACGTTGAGCGTGAGTTAGAAATTTCTGAAGATCCTGACCACATTCCTTCTCCTACTCCGTGCAGTGAAAGTTACGAAATGGAAGAGATGTTGAGTGTTAGGGGAAGTGAGGAGGTGAGAGCCTTGGAGTATGGTGACGTGAGTGTGGGTAGTGAGTCATTTGGGTCCGAAAGGACAGAGGAAGAGGAAGAGGTAGGAGGAAATGAGGTGGCTGAGATTGAGGGAGAAGGAAAAGAAATACCCTTTAACATTTTAGAAGTTGAGGTTGGTGGTGGTGGGTTTTATGATACAAAGGCAGATATTGTCTCTGAAGTAAAGGGATATGAGAGTGAACTGGGTATTAGGGATAGCCTTAGTTACTTGATAGACACCTATGACCTTCCTTCCCGGGTTCTAATTAGGCCTGCCGGGGTGAATGAGAGAGCGTGCTCAGCACCTCTGGACCATTGGATGCCTATGTATGCTCACTATTTGGCAGTAGAGCTTAGGTTGCCCATCCCGAAGTTATTAGTTGGGTTATTGTTGGAGTATAGTATAGGAATAACTAAGTTAGTTCCTAAGATTATGAGGGTAATAATAGGTTTTATAGTGTATTGCCGAGTTTGGGGTGTTAGTGTCCCTACTATAAATATGTTTAAGCACTTTTTTGTGCTTAAGGCTGGGAGTAGGAAGGAGAAAGAGTGGTATTACTTTACACCTCGGGCGTCCAACAAAGAAAATATGAATTTATTTAGTGCAAGACCTTCATCTATTAAGGGATGGAAGGAAAAATTCTCTTTTGTTGATGACACCGAATGGGGAAAGAGAGAGGCCGAAGTAGAGTACTTGTCTGTCTGGAAGGCTAAGAAAGCCAACTAGAACAAGTATAGGTTAAATAGTGATGAGGAGGAAGAGGTGGAGAAGTTGGTGAGAGAAGAGGGTGACACCTTAAATATCATGTATCTCACCAGCTCGGATGTCATAGAGGTTACTGAGCTCTATGGGCTAAGCTCATTGAGTGAAGGTGTGTTTTTGTTTTGTATTGTATGGCTTTGTGTGAGGTTTCAATTTGTGTTTTTAACATTTGTGTTATGTTGCAGCCGAAATGGCCAAGTTTTTGAGTGCTGCTAAAGGAATGGCCATCCCAAAGAAGCCAAGGAAGAAGTCAAAGACTTCACATGTGGCAAGTGAAGGAGGAGTCGAGAAGGAGATGGTTTCTAGCACATCTACCCGAGCTCCAGATCTTTAGCCAAGGCCGGAGCATAAGAGAAAAAGAAGTGAGAATGTGGAGTCACTTCAAAGAAAGAAGAAGAAAGTGGGGGAACATGAGGTGAGGGGGGATGAGGTGGTTGAGTTCATACCTCGGCCCCCTCCTATTAAGCTCGATCCTGAAGTCAGGGAGGCTGAGGTTAGGGTCCCTGGTAAAGGGAAAGAACTCGTTCCCCCTCCTTCTTTTCAGAGTAGCTTATTTGATGCAAAGAACACAACGGGGGCAAAAAGATTTATCAATTCAACATTCCTCGAAGTGGACAAATGTCAAGATAAGGAGGATGTGCTAAGGTATGCAAGAGCTACAGTGGTTAAACACGCCTTGGAGGTATGTTAAGTTGCTTTATTTTTTTTTATTTTTTTATTTTCTTATTTTTTAACTTTCTCTGGAATTGCAGAGTGCAAGTTGGGTGAATGCTTTGGCCCAAGAGTTTGTGGATAGTGTGAATGAGCGTACCAACTTGCAAAAGTAATGTGATAAGCTATAAAAAGAGAGGGATGGGTTGGAGAAGAATAATAAGGAGATGCCGGAGATGTTGGGTGAGGTGGTGCCAACAGTGAAGGAGCTTCAGGATGAGAAAGATTCACTGAGCACGAAGCTTGTTTTTGAAGAGAGAAAAAGAAAGATATTTGAAAACGAGTGCGATGCTTAGGAGAAGGAGATCAAGAAAATGAAGGAAGCTACATCCAAGCTGAAGAAGAATGTGAATCTGCTAGTCCACAACGCAATGAAGGAGCACATTGCTAACTTCCTCGACTCTAGTACCTTTGACAACATTGTCAATTTGTACCGGCTGCCCACTACAATCATAGCCTTCTCAGATTGTAGAAAGAAAGTGAAATCGCAATATCTCGAAGTGGATGTCACGAGCGTCACCTTTGGCGAACAAGAGGAAGGAGTGGAGGAGAACGGTGAAAGCATGTCAGCTAACTTCCGACCTCAGATTCAGCTGAGGTGGGATTGTGATAAAGAAGGGTGCACCGTTTTCCTCCTAATTTTGACTTCGAGTTTGTGGTAGTGAAGGAAGGGGAAGCAGAGGTAGAAGGCGTTGAAGTTGAGGGAAGCCAGCCAACTCCTCCAGTGGAAGTTCATCTAGTTCCTTCAAAAGAGGATCAGCTAGCTCATCCC